GGAGTTTTCACAATACTTTTGCTAAGCGCATCCAAGATCTCTGCTTTGCTTTGCTGTTTTTTTTATAAATCGATTATCGCATCGTAGGAGGCAGTGGCAAAAACAAAGCGATGCGCAAAAAAATAGACAAAAATCGGGTCAGATCAAAGGTTAAAGCAGAATGGCAAATGTCATCATCTCGATCATTATCCTGTGCTCTGAATGAAAAATAAAGGGAATCTCGACTGTAGATCGCCATCGATCGCCGCAGTCTTGTGGTTGACATTTTCCTCGTTTTGGGTCGGTGACTTTGCTTTGAAGATGCGGAATGGAATGACACCACCAGCCAGTCAGTCAGCCGAAAACCTCGATTTTTAGCCTCAACCTCTCGATTTTGACCCCTCGCTCGGGTTATTTTTTCATCATTGTGGTTTCACTGCCTTTGTGCCTGCCTTGATATTCCGCTCTGATCTGATTTTCCCGATGAGATTTTCTTTTACTAAATCCCTGTCTTAGTCGGTTTTTTGTTCATCGGTACCAGTTTCCCATGGTCAAGAGTCTTTTATTTTGTCCAAACTAACTAAGAACCCAGAAAATAATCAAGGACATTATCGGAGGTCCTTTCTATAATCCATTGCATAAAATTCAAAAAAGCCTGGTAATTAAATTCTAAGGATATCTTTAATAACGTAAAAGAAAAATATACTGTGGATCAAATATAATCAAATAAAATAAATATATATAAAATAAACCTTAAATAGAGGCTGGAAAAATGTAACTTTAATCAAATAAAATAAATAAATATCAAATAAACCTTAAATATATGTAAATTTAAGCCCCAATGTTAGTAAAATATTTCTTATCTATTAAATAATAAACAAACCATATACGTATAAATTACACCCAAGCCAAACATAAATGATGATCATGTTTATGCCCATTAAGTCGAAGGAAGGAAATCCTACTTGTGATATTTTCCTCCCCCGGATCTTCCTCCCAGATTCTTCCATATATATATCCCTCGATATCTGGCTGTGATTTCGCTGCCGGAGATCGTTAGTCCATGACATTTGTCGCGCCCTTTTAACAACAAACACGTGTTCGATTGTCCCCGGTTTTTCACGCCATTTCACTTGTTCGTTTCGCAAATTTCCACGCAAAGGAGAAAACCCGGAAAGTTTCCGAAAAAAGAAAAAGGGAAAACAGGTAGTGGATTTTCCACGCCCAGTGGTGGGCAGTTCCCAGCGACACCTTCGCATCGGACACGCTTGTTTTCGAATACCCAATGCTAATGTCCTGCCAGGACGAGAATGCCATAAAGCTGCTGGGATTTGCGTGTAATGGAGTTCCCAATCTCCCGCATCCTCCGCATCTTGACCTTTTGGGAGTGGATCCCTTGAAGGAGATCCACAGATTCACGCATCAATGAACCATTTATCTCGGAATATGTGTGTAAAGTGAAACGCGCACTTCTTATTTTTTTTTTCGGTGATGATGTCGTGAAATCAGCAGCCGAATAAAAGAAGAAATCACTTTTCATTGAGGACAATGGGCCACAGGATATTCCAGTGAAGTCTTTTCAATGTGGATCCTTAGATAGCGCAGCTCGCATTGTCCTGATTTTCGAATCTGGCTTTTGCTTGCTCTAGAAACGCTCTGACATTGATTGCCTCTGATAGTTTATTGGTACCCGGATAGTCGGCACAGAAATAGGGAATCGGACACGTGTGTGCTGCATTGTCCTGTATGCGCCATTGTTGATTCTGCGGTTGGTTTCTTCAGTTTCCCACCGGCATGTCAACAATCAAGTCAAAGTCCCCATTTCAGGATCCCAGCGTATCGAGATCTCGAGCTCCGTAAAGTCATTTAACTACCGGCAATTCACACTGTGCTAAATGTAGCATGTAGTGATCGATACAAAAATCCACCAAAAAGCAAAGTGAAATGAATCCCTGAATTCACAAAAAAAACAGGATTGAGCGGGTGAATACTGTAGATAGCAGATTCCTAGGGTATCACATCATGCTGTTAGCTAATCACTGGAATGCATGTGGAGCTGACAGGCCAAATGAGATGTTTGGCTATCGGGAAAACGAGGTTTTTCACTGGCAGAACTCGATATCGGTGAGATAAGATTGTGCATACCCAAAGAACAAGGCTCAGATCGCAGGTTAGCCATGTAACTTTCTCTAAAAAGAACAGATTTTGGTCACCTAATTTAGATTATTTCAGAATTTTATAGATGAAAAACGTTTAAAAAAAATATAAATATATTCTTGTAAAAACGTTTATTGTGGTTGTTTAAAACTACAGTGGATTTTATGTTATTGAATGTTTGGCATATAACAACATCCTGGTGTAGATACTTATGCATCTGATTTTGGTTATGTGCGTCAAACATAAACTATGTTGTACTTAATACTTATAGAAAAAACGGTGATATATAATTGGAAATTTTAATAAATAAAAGTACTATTTAATTGGTAAAATACAAAGTAACTGGAGAGCTCTCTAAATTTGACGACTTGTTTCCTTGTTAGTTTAAGCAGTAAATGTTTTGGCACTGCATTTGGGAAATGAGGATTCCTCCTTTTTGATCGTATTCCCGGTATCCAAACACTTGGCCACTTCGTTCGAATCATCCGGGTAACAGCTCAATTGGTGGGTCAGACAGATATTGGATCCTGTGGACTGGTAGCACTCGATGTCGCCTCATTAACGAGCTACCAGGAAGGAAAGTCAGTGCAGAGTACTATGTAGTATATAGTAGTAGAGGAACTACCGCCTGCCACTTGACGCCTGGTTAAGTGCGAAATTTGACAAGAGGATTTGATCAATGGATGGTCCGCAGAGGAGAGCACTTCCCGAAAACCAGAAAGTGGAACGGGAACTCCAGGGATCGTATTTTGACACATGGGTCATAAATCTTGGCCAGCGAAGCGATCGCGACGGCGACGCCGTCATAAAGTCACATAACTCAAGTTTGAATTTGTACAAGAACAAGTAAAAGTACAAGTAGAAGTACAAGTACAAGTACAAGCGGAATTACAAGTGCTCTTCGAGTCCTTCGAGTCCTTGGTTCCTGCGTTTTGGGTTTGGGTTTCCTTTGAATTGCGACATGATAGAATAACATTTGGCTCGTATTTCCGAGGGGCGCATCTACAAAAATAAATAAACGACCGAACAGCGAACACCGAAGACCGAAGGCCGAAGGACTTTTGTGTCTGGCCGAAGATGCAAAACAAATACGCACTTCCTGCGACAAGGACACCGAAAGAAGTTACTTCCTGAGGCCCCGAAAACGAATTTATTGCCGCAGCTCAGTTCAGTGATCTCTGTCATTTGAGATTGAAACCCAAGGAAATGCATTTTTTGCGAGCACAGTGTAGTGAGCTAAGATTGCATAAAACTCTGGACACACAGCCTATTAAAGGACATTGGCTTAGTCCGTATTTTGACACCTCCTTTGGAAACGGGCAGGTCCCGAATTCGCAATCCCGGATCTCTGGATATGCTAAGCTTCTTTTGATATCCGGTAACAATGGACCACGCCAGAGTTTCACTCTCCTTCGTCTGCGTTCCGTTTCCTGGTTTTATCCTTAAGCAATCATATTTCGCATTGTCCTCGTCCACTACCTACATATCCTTCGTCTCAGTCTTCGATCCTCAGTCCTCATTACTCATTCCTCTTCCTTATTTTTTTTTGAGGAAAAATATTGGAATTTTCGGCAAGACGATATGCTTCCTGTTTTAGGGACATCCACATCCCCGATCCTTGGCGTTCCATTTCCCTACCTTTGCACGTGTCCAGCGCAATTGGCAATTTGCATAATGTGGGCGTGGCAGATCTTGCCTAGATGACATTCCTGCATATTTGATCGTCTTGCGGCACACGCCCGAAAGTTTCACCTTTTTGGGGTGGGTTCCTTTCCTTTTTCCTTTCCTTGTTTTTTTTACTAGGGGGTAAGCGGAAGTGCATTTCACGGCTCGTCGACGGCTCGACTGCGTCCAGCTTGATGAAAAGCTGTTTCGCGGGGTGCGCCAGCCACGTGGATCGATCCTGCGCCGCGAGTCCTGGATCCTTGGACTAGGACCACTTTATCTCCTCAGGCGTGACTGCCTATTTCCGGGCAATTTACGCGCCATTAACAATGCCCAGCCAAATTAGGGAACGAATAACAAAAATATTCGCTGCCGTTTCCGGTCGGGTGTTGAATTCCTTGTGGGTTGTCGTCATGGTTACTATGCGCCTGCTGAAAAGTGAGACATGTCCAGGATTTGAAACTAACTAACAAACTAATTTAAGTAAACTAAATGTAACTGGTTATCAAATACAAACAAAGGCAAACCTACAATAATTTATAGGACCTAAAAGGCATTTAAACATTTTAAAAAATTTTCTATCACTTAATATATCTCAGTTTATTGGAAAAGGATTTTAAAATGCGAAGTACTAGGCACTTGTATTAAGTACTAAAATTCCTATAAATAATCCTAAGATCCTAAGATAAATAGACCCAATCACTTGACTAGCTCGCTTTGTCAAAATGCTCAAAATATTATAAATATATATTTTATATGATTTTTGTTTTTGGGTTTCATAAAATATTAATTTGAAACAGGGCTTTAAGGATTCTAAGAGTTGTTGTTAATTTTTTGTTTAAGTATTAGACTAGACAAAGCAACCTTGTAATATGTTTTATGTATGATTGGAACATTTTCTGTTTTATATTTTGTTGTTAAAAAAATGGTCCTAAGATATTGAAAGCTTGGGAGAAATCTTTTTTTATATCAAGACTAATCCTTAATGAACTAATTAATTATTCTCATGTTCTTTAAGTCTAAGCTCTATTCTTGTGGGTCCTGTTTTAAGGATTTTTGAACATCCCCAACATTTTGAGCTGTAATATCTGTTAGAGAAAGTGATCTCAGCTGATCATATTGGAGTACCTGAAATCGTAGTTGTTTTTGTGCGGATTTCAATAAAAAGATTTTGTTTTGAATTTTGGTTTTGATTTTGTTTGTTTGTTTTTATTTTTGTCTTAGAACTAGATAGTTTAGTGTCTTCCATGCTTATAACAAAACTTAGAACTATGAAAAAAATATATGTTTTATATCATTGTCTTCCATTGTCTTAAACTAGTGTCAAAAAAAAGGGTTGTAGAATCTGGGACTTGGTTTCTGTTGGTCTTTCCACTCACTAAGGCAACAATTTGAGTTATTTACAATTTGTACATGTTGTGTTTGTGTTTTTTCTTGGGTTTCAGGCTTTGGTGAGATCCACTCATTATTGCTCCTGCCAGGACGAAATGTAGTCGAGCAACTCCTCGTCGTCGGGCTGTTCATCGCTGTAGCTGTCGAAGGACTCGAACTTGAGTTCCTGCTCGGGCAGCTCCTGCTTCACATATCCCCCGGAGATCTCGGAACCGGAATACGAGGGCGTGGGCGAGGCGGAGTGATAGGAGTGGGCCTGAACGGAGTTCAACTGGGTGGCATTGAGTAGGAACTGCTGCGGACTGTCCAAACTATCGTTGTAGTCGTTGTAGCTGCTGCCATCGTTGCTGCTCTCATCCGCCGAATTGTAAATGGGACGAGACGAACCGGTGCCATCGTCCAGCATGTCCTGCAGTCCGCGAATGTACTCCACGGCAATGCGCAGAGTGTCCACCTTGGACAGCTTTTTGCTGGCACCACGTCCTCCGTTCGACAGCGTATTGATGACGGTCTGCGGCAAATGCTGGCGCAGATTCACGAATCCATTGTTCACCTGCTTCACGCGATTGCGCTCACGGGCATTGCGCCTCGCCACCGAAGGCATTTGTTCGCCATACGGCATTGTGTTGTAGTTCAATTTCTTTTTGTGCATGGGTCCCACATTCGATTGCTGCTGACCCTGCTGCTGCATGTTCTGCAGTTGGCTGGTGCCCAGTGGCATCTTGGGGGCAATCAGCTGCTGGTGTTGCTGCTGGCTGGGATTGTGATGATTGTGGTGTTGCAGCAACATGATGTTGCCGTTGGTCAGCTGATAGTGCTGCTGCTGGAAGTTGCTGCTGCAGATGCTCGTCATGGTAATCCTTGCGAGGTTTTTCTTCGGTTTGTTCGAGAGATGTTGACTGTGTGGAATCAGATTCCGCAATGATAGTTCCTGGTCCTGGCCGACGGTCTTAAATACTCGCAGTGGCAGAGGCAGAGTCGCGGAGGCGGAGTGCGCCGTCGGCAGAGGCAGCAACTTCGGCAGAGGAGCAACAGGGGTTGAATCCTGGCTACCTGCCCTCGAAAAACCCGAGCCGAGTCCTTTGCACAAGTGATCGTTGCAGTACCCGGGGATCGTAATAATTTTTCCCCTCTCTCTTTTTCCTAGGGGTTCGTTTTTAGTTTTGTGGTGGGTGCCTAACTCTCCTACTGTCCCTTTCTACCTAACTGTCTCTCTCTCTCCCGCACATACCTATTTGTGTCCTTTGTCTACAAAATACATTTTTCCTTTTTGAGAAAATCGAGACTTAAATCTCGGATCTGCAAGATCCTTGTCATGGCCAAAAGAAAAAGAAATAAGACTGTGAATGCACTTCCACTTTTGTCGAATGTCGTTTGCATTGAAAGCGAAAAAATAAAGGAGAGTAACAGGAGGGGAGGGGAGTGGAGAGGGGGGGGGAGAACTTGATATAAAATGTGATCCATCATGTGAAAGAAGAGGAAAATGAAAAGGCGGGGCAGAAACGAAATGAAAGGGCGATGTCGTGGCACTTTCACTGTCTCCAAAAACTGCGTATCCAGTTTTTGTTGTTGTTGTCTTTCCCCAGTCCTTGAACTTTTTCCGTGGGTCTCCGCCAAGTTGTACACCCTTTAATCCCTTTTCTGGCCCGCCGCATTTGACACGTGCTTCCGACCAGTCCGATATAAATTAGCATAAGCTCCAGAACAACAATCATATCGCCGGCGACAGACAAATCCCACAAGTGTGTGCCGTATCATGAATACCAAAGGGGGCAAAAATATGGAGGGACCGAGAATTATAAAACAAAAAACAAAACGATCACGGATTCATTGGATATTGACAGCAGTTCGCGGAATCAAAAGCTGAAACTTATTCCACTCAAGAAAAGCCAGACAAGCAATCTGCACTGGTAAAAATATAAGTATCTGAATAAGTAATCAGACTTGAGTAGTTATCATTCAACAATTAATCATAATAGTTATATATTATGTTTGTTGTTTTTCAATTTAGTAACATAGAAATAACATTTAATATAAATATAATGAATATCACTGAAATTTTTATTCTGTAAATTTTTTTTTGGTGAAAATAATTACTTTTACTTCTAGACAAAATTCGAAACGACAGAGTTTTTAAAATAGGCTTCAATTTATATTTAATTTAAATGTAGCTTAAAATCGTTTAATTTGGTTTAACAGTATTTTGCATTTTAATGTAAAATGTAATAATAATGGATCATAAAAAAAATGATTTCTTCATAATTTAATTAATTATTAAACATTTTGAATTCTAATTACGCTTTGAATTCTATAAAAGAATTATATAAAATTATGGTCACAAAAATCTGCAAAAAACCCATACATTATTTTTCAAAGTGCAAGAATTGCTCATTAACCGACTTGCTTTCGACTTGTGACTCAGCTTTTATATGCCCGCCTTTACAAGTGAAGTTTCCGCCATTTCCTCCCTCAACATCTCCGTGCAATAAAACATTCATAAATGTGTAAAAACTTCTGTAAACGAAACAGAAACTGAGGCAAATTTCTGGAGCTGCGAGTTGCAACTTTGTTGCGCCGGGCAGGCAATACCGTTAGGGAAGGGGCAAGTCGAGTAACGAGATTGCACCCATAAATGCATAAAACCTTGATTAACCCAAAGGAGCCGGGCGAATACAGCCGCCCAGAATGGGATCAACAAATAGAAGGAGGATGGCGCAGATCCCGAAAAAAAAATGGGAGTTGAAAATCAAAATTGAGAACTGAAACTCAACCGTTTACATTTTAATTGGTTTTTAAAAGCTGCCACCGAACAAAAAATCCTTCCCTAATGTATTTCTAATGTCCTGAATGAAAATCCTTTGCGTCATCACCTGTACGCCTCCCCTGTTTTTGGGAACCCTTTTCCAAAAATCCTTCTTTAATCTGCTCCAAACACACCCCCCAAAAAAAAAATAAAGTCGAAAGGTAAAAATGTTTTGGTAGCAATTTAATTAGCCGCGGATTCCATACTCCAAAACGCCCGGTGATTAATTAAACCGCATGAGATGAGAAAAGTGTTGATCTCTATAGGGGTTGCAAGGATCCAGAAGGACCAGCAGCTGGCCAGGGTTGTCAAGTGCCAGGCGCAGGATAAATAAAGTGGCGGCATCTATATAGTTTCAATCTTCCAATTGGCTGCACTGCAGCGACATCTGTTGCTCGTAGTATTTCGTTACAGGATTCTGGTTAGAATATTTGCGACCAATTAATTGGTGCAAGGACATATGAGAGGAGAAGGTGTAGCGATATTCCTCTGAGGATATCTGTAAGGATCGCTTCCAAAAAAACTACCAAAAAGTATACAATTCACTTGTCGTAATATAATTTGATTTTTGCGAATACAAAATTCTCGGCATACGAAACTATGTAAAATTTTCAAGATTAATTTTCTTATACAAATTTCTCGATTTACTTTGTAAGAAGCGCTTACTCACCACCTGCCAATAATTTTCTATATTTACGGCAGATGTAGTCAAGATCTTTTTCGTAACCCAATGATTTATAAAATCCTTGACATTCCCAGAAGAATTCCTCCAACGGAAGCATCCTTACCAACCCGAAAATCTTATCGCCTGTTGACACAATTAATTATATATTTTATGTGCTTGCTGTTCATTAACACTAATTGGAATTCAAAACACCAGCTACCGAACCGAAAAACGCGCGACCTCTGAACCCCGGGAAATCGGAACAGGGATATACAGGGTACACAAGTACCAAGTAATACCAAGTCCAATCACGTACGCCCTCGAAAAGTGTAAAACGTGATGGACTGGATCGGCGGTGGGTTTCACAGGCAGTATCGTAAGCGTGAAATCTGTCAGATACGAAACCCCGATCCCAATCTATTGTCATCACATTAATTTGACTTTTTATGGGTGTTCCTTTTTGGCCATATCGCCAGGACGCAATCGAAAAGCGGAAATTGTCACTTTTGCCTGTGCTGTTCATTTTTTCGAGAGACTTAATTTTCGTCTCATTCAGCGGGATTGAAATGAAAGCGAAGTGAAACCGCTGACGGTGCAGTTAAAGTTAAAGGTAAAGATGAATCCGCGAGATGCTTTTTGAGCGAAGTGCCTTTCGCACGATCACACCTAATAACGGTAATTTACACGCACGCTACTTGCGATAATTGCGACGCCAAATGTGCTGACAGGCACACAGGATACGACTCCTCGGCCCCAAAGGCTAAAAGTCCAGGGAACCAAAACCAAAACCGAAACCTTAACCAAAACCTTAACTGAAACCGTAGCCAAAGTCAAAGTCAAAGTCGAACCGCGCATCCCGATGAACTGAGTGAGATAACAGCCAGCTAAATCAGCAGCAAAAGCGGCAGAAGCTTCGGTTATTAAAAACGGCAGTCGGAATCGGACCTTCCCAGATGGAAGATGTACACTGTGCGAAAAAGCCCTGCTCCCATCAAACACAAAACCTTGAAACTGAAACCTAATTGCGTAAACTATTGTGGATAAAACAATTGAGGTCACCAATTGAACCACGGTTAACCTCTAGTTAAAATATAGTATTCCTCCTGTGAATTCAGGGAATAATTAAAACTATTTATGATGCCAATTTTAATGCTTTCCCAAAAATACAAAAGCCGCGAATTCTTTAGCTTCTTGTAGTAAATAAAAACTGACGACTAATAGAATTAATAGAATGCATAAATTTAATAGATAATGTTATTACATTAAATTATGTCTAAATGCTACATGTAATACCTGTAATTAATTGAATGGTAAATTAATATATTATTTTACCACCTTAAAGTATGTCCAAGTGCTTCTTGTAATACCTTGTTTTATTTGCCCTCTTTTTTTCAGTGCATTCAGGAATCGTGGCGGTGGCGGCAATGCTTGATTGTTGTGGTAACCGAATATGCCGCACCAAGTGCGAAAAAATGTTGTCGAGGTGTGAAAAATAACTGGCCAAGAGTGCGTACGCCGGGGGTTAAGGGGGTCCGGCGGGGCTGCGGAGGGACAGGAGGGTTAAGGTGCTCGGGATGAGGAGATAGGGGGATGTGGGGGATAGGATGTGCTCCTTCGGTTGGGCACGCATCGAAGGTGTTGAAAGCTCTGCGCTTCTAAGAAACGTTTGTCGGTGTTGAGATTTCGGTGGCTTGATAGCCGCCACTATACGCACATATATATATAAATTATATATGTACGTGTGCAGGTGAGGACCCCTTCTCTCCAGATGATATTTGTCGATGGTGTCGAGGTGTTAAAATTACCCCAAAGGTACATAATAATTACCTTAAATTGCAAAAACAGCGAAATAAATTTCCAAACGGTGCGAAAGAGACGGATGAACTGAACCTTTGGCGGTCTTTTTTGTTTTTGAAGCGTGCCGCGGCGTTGCCAGACTTCTACTCGGGGGTAAATGGGGAAATTATAAAAAGAACTTACGAAGGGGGCATGCAAATGGGGCGTGTGTCATCCATAAAAATTGAATGCTGTCGCCGTAATTAACGGGCGGCAAAAAGGTGCAAAAGAGATGGGGAACCGTTGAGCGAAAGAGACGGCGAGATGAGAGCGCCCAAGAAAAATGACAGTCGAAGCTGTTTGGCCAGCGGCCGATCTATTTAATTAATTGCTAACAAGTTGAAAATGTTTAAATGGTTTATGGCGCAGAAAAAGTGCAAAAAAGAAGGCAGGGATCACAGCATCCTTGGTGGTAGCCCTTTGGGGTGTTTTTTTTTTTTTTTTTTTTTTGGAAACACCAAGACAAATTGTGATGGCTTTTGTTGTTTAGCTGGCTTTTGGATTCCCCCTTCGTTGTTAACCCGCTGTTGACTTGGTGGTCTAAAGTGTCACCTTGTTTTGAGGGGATACAGAATATTGTATCCTTTACGTAATCTGGGATGGGATCAA